GTTTGTTTTGTTTGTTTGTTTTTAGCATCAGAAAGAGTCAGCTGAGATCAGCATACAAAAGTTTTGGATCAGAATTTCCACCAATTTTTTTTTCTTTTGCTAGTACAATGCAACCACCAAATGAAGCTGCAGGTGCAAGTATGAGTAACTGCCTGTGGCTCTGAAGAGACACATGTTTAAATCATGTGGTTAGAGATGAGAGTGCTCAGATCTGCTCCCCTCCATCTATACATGTCCATTGCTGTATATGTAAGCTATGTCTGAGTAAAAGTGATCGATATCTTGTCCCTGAACTGAACTTAGGTCCAGAAAATTGTCAGGTTTATACAATACAAAAACATAAACGTAAGTATCTATCTACCTTTGCATGTAAAGTATACAACAGAAATTTAGGCTCTGGCCCTTATATGAAGGGAGAGAAACTTTTACTACCTATGTTTAATTCTGTGAGTGAATCAAGACACATCTAGGCTACATATGTAATGGATCGAATTAATAGATATGAAGCCACATTTTCACTCTTCAGGATCAAAAATACTCAGTTAAAATGGAAATAGTGTTGGTAATGTAAATTTAGTCCAACAACAACCCATTGTGTGAAATTTTCATTGACTTCCCGAGCTTTGGATGAGGCCTGTAGTACACATACTAAAGGTATGCTTTCTGTATGCTTGTAGTTTTCAATGTCATTTGTTTGTAAGCATCACGTATATGTTATGTATCTCAGAGAATATTTAAGCATATGTATGAATAGTTTTGTAATTTGCAGGCTCTCACCCAAGTAATGTTCTGGAAATGAAGCATTGTCCCAGCAGGGAAATTAAGCAGTGATGCATGAAAAATTGTTCATTATGAGCAATTCGTAACAGCTCTCATGTAATTAATGCTCTGACAGACAGAGGTAACAACTGATTTTGAGCAACACATAAACCATACCTAATAACTTACCAGTAAAATAATTTCATGATCACCTTCCTCTCTACTTACACGATGGCAAAAGTAGAGTTGACAGTGTGAGCAGAGAAAATAAACCTAAACCAAAATACCTCAGTAATTCAGTATTTGTTGTCTTTTCCCCCTTAGTTATTATTTCCATTCTTATTAACAACAACAACAGTAAAATGAGCTAAATAAGCAGTAATGTTTATCATATTGTTTGTGTGCAGGTGCAAGGTTTGTGGTGGAGGAGGGCTCCTCAGCAGTCCTTACCACCAACCATTTGTTTGCCACTGACCCTGACACCACTGCAGATGACTTAGAGTTTGTCTTGGTTTCTCCTCCCCAGTTTGGTTACATTGAAAATATACTGCCTTCTCCTGGGTTTGAGAAGAGCAACATTGGTATAAGCATAGGTAAGTCTTAACGACTTATGGTAATCAAGCAGATGAAATACAGAGGTCTTGTGGAGGGACTGTGAGGTGGGTTCTGGTGAAGTAGTTGCAGGTGTGTGCATTAATATGGGCTTATTGAGGAAGGCAGGTGCTGGCAAATGAAGAGCAGGGGGACTGTGTGGAAGGAGTTCAAAGGGAAACTGCAGCTTTGCAAATGTGAAGAATTGGCACTTGAAGTAAACAAGCCAATCCTTGTTTTATGCATTCCAGCTGCACTCTATTAGAAGCGGCGATATGAGACATTAATCTGCTCTCTCTGCCTCCCCCTGCACTCTCCCATGCAAGGCTCCTGTGCTTCCCTTTGCCCTTCTGTCAATTCAATGCTGTAGCTGAGAATTTGAAAAGCCTGGGTCCCATGTTAGTTTCCAAGGTAAAGTTACAAAAGTGATAGAGATGGTGGTTGACTTGGGTCTCTTCCCTTGTCCCCCTTCAAACATTGTAAGGCAGTTTCATCCTCAGCAGAACAGATTGTGGCATGGTCTGTAATGCTATCAGCTTTTACAAGTGTCTCCAGCTGGACACCCAGAACCGCTGAGCCTTTTGGTCCCCATTTTCCTGGTCTGCCAGTCAAATAACAATCAATGTAATTACTTAGACCTCAGATCTTTTCCTACCTATTATTTGGGTCTTTTTATTTGGGCTCAGTTCTGCAGACTGAACTGAGAAGTATGAAGTTGCACCATCCCACAAAAAGCAGAAGAATGCACTTTTGTTTCAGGGGAAAGACATGTGTCCTACAGTAACATGTGCAGTGTAACTATTTCAGCCAAAAAATGACAGAGTACTTACAAAATCGAAGTTATTTGTTCTTTGAAGAAAGACATAGTTTCACATTTTTTTATGATATGTAAGACCAGAAGGCAGGAAAAGATTGTGCTAACTCATCATCTCTTTAAAATCTCTAGCTTCGTTTCAGCTGAAGCACCTGAAAGCCCTGAACATAAACTATGTACAAGCCAGGCACATGCGAATGGAGCCAACAGCAGATCACTTTATACTTTATGTTACTGATGGGTTGCATCGCTCAGCAGAGACTCCATTTTCCGTGCTGATCAACCCAACCAATGATGAAGTCCCAGAATTCATAGCAAGGAATATTACCGTAAGGAAAGAATCAAAATGCCTGTCATAGAATTATTTTATATTAGAAAACACACTTTAATATAAATAAGAACATTGTTCTGACACATGTTCCTCTGCATTTTTCCCTTACTTTGTGTAGTTCAGCCTAGTTCAGGAAACAGCCCAGTTAAATTTCATCTAAACCTGTAAGACAGAGTTTTGTGGGACTGGAGCAGTGCACAGGTCTGTTTGGTAACTTGCAGTTAAGTGAAAAAAAAAGGCTCAAATCTTTAAACAAATAAGTCATCTAGAAAGCAGAAAGATCTTTATGCTTCTTCTGGTTTCTCAAGAGATTTTGTAATTTTTTGTAGAGTGTTTTTATGTTCCTGGCATAGCCTCTCCCCGCTCTGAAGACTGCTTTTAATATAAATAATAATTCTGTGACCACCATGCTAGGGCAGTGGAAGCTTATCTTACTGTAAAGTAAGAAGTGCATGTATGTGTATAAGTTTATATGCATCCATATTTTTATGTATATTTATGTATTTAAAGTCTTTCTCCTCTGTCCATTCCCTTGCACTTAATACGAAGTTTACTTACCTAACAGCTTTTCTATTAATTGGGGTAGATATGAACTCCTTATCTCACCATCTCTTTTCATCACTGTAACTATTTACTACTCTATGTCTCTTAAACTGTTTGAAATCAATAGCTGGTTCAAAAGCTACTGGAAAAGGGGTGGAGGAAACAAAAGAGATACACTCATACACAAAAATACCCTACTTAGGAAACCATGCTAAAATTCTATTATTTCTTTTCATTTAAAAGAATTGGACAATTTCTTCTTTCATGTTCAGGTTCAAGAGGGGGAGATGAAAGAGCTGGATCTCTCTGTTATCAACGCAGTTGATCTGGATGTGCCTCAAGACCGTTTGGTATTTGGAGTTGTGCAGAGGCCCTGGTACGGGTTCCTTATTAATGGAGTTCACGGCAATGATATTCTACACTATAAACAGTTAATTAACCACAACCACCACAGCCATGGGCTGCTTGTTCATGACTTTTCCATGGAGCTACTGAAGAGCTGTAGGTGCAGCATTCTTCTGACATTGGTCTTTCATTCCTTTAATGAGGCAAGGTGGCACAGTAAGAAACCTTCGCCACTTATTTATTTACTTGCCTTATGTGTATTTCCAAGACAATGTTTGGGAACAGAAGTTAACCTATTTAATGCTAACGTTGTCTATTGATTTTAGGAACTGTCAATAAAATCACCTCGAGAGGCCTACATATCAGAAAGGGTAGTAATATGACTAGGGAGGCCATCTGCCCTGAAAAAATAAAGGGAATATTGTAACATATCAGCAAACAGATTTCAAAATGTTTGACAGCACCTAGAATAGAGACAAGGGCACTGACTTAAAACCACATTAACTGATCATGGGGTTAAATATTGCTTTAAATGATCACAGAATCATAGAATCCTAGAACGGTTTGGGTTGGAAGGGACCTTTAGGGATCATCTAGTCCAACTCCCCTGCCATGGGCCGGGATATCTTTCACTACATCAGGTTGCTCAAAGCCCTGTTCAACCTGACCTTGAACACTCCCAGGAATGGGGCATCCACAACTTCTCTGGGCAACCTGTTCCAGTGTCTCACCACACTTATTGTAAAACAGTTTTTCCTTATGTCCAATCTAAACCTACCCTCTTTCAGTTTAAAACCCTTGCCCCATTGCCCTGTCACTACAGGCACTGGTGAAAAGCCTCTCTCCATCCTTCCTATAAGCCTCCTTTACATATTGAAAGGCCACAAAATACACCTTCGTCACACCTTCATATACCTAACAATAAAGGTATGAACTGAAGCTCTGTAGCTTAGTATGATCAGTTAACTTGCTTTGAAGCAGCAAAGCTCTTTCTAGTACATGTAATCAAAAAGTATCTTTAACATTGACAAGATGGTGGATTCTTCCAAACTGTGGCCATTTAGTGAAATATGGAATCTATCAATATAAAGAGAGATATGAATTCAATCCTGCTGCTCAGGTTACAGTTATGCCCTCAAAACCCGAGGAAAGATTTTTCTTCTCTCTGCCTGTCTAATGTGAACCTTCAGAAATATCATGCCTGCACCCCAAATTCCTCAGCCTTCCCAAGTCCTGTTTTTGACTCTCTTCCAATTGCTTGGCTTCTCTCTTTTCCTGTCCACAATGGTGACCAAGCCCAGATCTTCTGATTGTCCATGGCCATAGCCACAAGGCCAGCTGTCCTCCCCAAGGCTGGTTTAAAGCTCCCTGAGGATTATTTAAGGCACAGAAAAGCGTTGCCTGATAGTCTCACACTTTCTATGGTCCATGTTAAAATTAATTGGAATGTGGAGAGGAGAAGAAATGTGCCTTTTTCAGACCAACGGAGACCTTTTTGTGAAGGGAGGCACTCCTTACTCAGGTCAGGCTGGTGTCTTTGAGTCAATAATATGTTGTAGGTTAATGACCAGCAGTGGCTCGCCAAGCTCATCTTCTGGTAGCTGAAACAAGCTTGCTGTGACCGGGGCATGTAGGGAGGGGAGATGGAAGAAGGGTGATGGAAGCAGAGTGAAATGATGTGAGAGATTTTGCAGGAGTCAGATTTATTTGTTCTTTCAATTTCTCTCTCTCTCTCTCCGCTCCCCCCCTCCCTGCCCCTTCTTTTTCTTCCCCCTGCTCCCTGCATAGGAATGAAGCTGATGTACATGCATGACAATTCCGAAAACCTCACGGACAGCTTTAAAATCCAGCTATCAGATGGGAAACATAAAGTCCTCAGAACCATTTCAGTAAAGGTCATTCCAGTTAATGATGAGAAACCAGTGCTGAGCAAGTAAGCCACATGTTCCTGTCTCTGACAGAGGGATGAGTTCAGACAACATGATCCAAAAGTGATCAAACCAGCAAATTGGTGACTGATGGGGAGAGGATGCCATAACTAGTCACAGACTAACGTCAATACAGATGTTTCCATGTGGGTCTCTATCAGCTTGTTTAACAAAAACATTTTTAGTGAAAGAAGGTCATGCTTTAATGTTGCTCAATATTAAAAGAATAGAGAAAAAAAAGGGGGGTGGGGGGTGGAACATGCTTGTTTTGTCTTTCACAACTTACTTCAAGATGGTTGCCAGAGAGCCCTGATCTTTGCACACCTCTGCTGGCCACTGGCCACCATGGTATTGACTGCAGTTACTTTGCTTTCCCCTTTCCTGGGGCAACCACCTGTCTAAAACACCTTTCTAAAAGTAGCTCTGGATTTTGGCATGAGAGAATCCACAAAATTGATGCCTCCTTGCCTCACGGGGGAAAACCTTTCACCTTAAGGATTCTCTTCTTTTCTATTACAAAAATCTATTGTTTAGCCATAATTCAACTTCTGACAAGGTACATGCTAGCTTTCTTTACAGTTCAAAATTAGGAGTCATAAATGAATTAGACGTGGTCATAAATTGCCTGGCAGACCATTTGCAGATAGGCAGCTGGCTGCGAGACAACCGAACCTCCTGGACATTTTAACAAGTAGCTCGTCCCTTGGGATCCCAGTTTTTTAGCCACAGAGCATCAGGGCCTCCATAATCCTGGCTGCTTTCCAGGCCCAGGCAGGCAGATGGGGAGCTGGGGGCCCGAAGGCTTTGGGGGTATATCTCTGAACCTCTAAAGTTTGCATTTCAGTTAAGCAGTTGGGCTTTAAGGAAACGTTCAGTTTGGCATTGAAGTGGTTTAGCTGCCACGAATGTCACCACATCTTTGCTGTGGGGTAGGAGCTGCCTTATGCCACTGCACTGTTTTACAGGTGAACATTTGACAATACCTGTAAGCTTCTTCTTACCTTTTAATCTGGGGGCACCTTTCCACCCCAGGGAGTTTCAGCTCTCATCTCCATTAGCTATGGTCAGCAGACTGAAGAATCTGGGATGGGATGTTTTTGGCTCACAAACAGTGGCTCTTATTCACAGTGGTTGCCAAAAACTCAATCTGTCACCTCTTGGATTGCATCCCGTAGTGAGGAGTGCCCTTGGGGAATGTAAGGCTCTCACACATTCCCCTTGAAAGCTTCTTCTCAAGATGAGACATGCGGGTACTAGAAGGACTTAACCAACTAACTGCTACGCAGAAAAATTATTTGGGGTGAGACAGTATTCAGGGTGCAGCTAAACGTGTTTATCTTCACTTATTTTTTTTGTTTGAATCTTCTCTTTCTGGCTCATACAGTCTTTGGGTCAGACACCTGGTCTTTATGTTTGCATGGTCCCACTGTGTTTATTGCTGGTATGAGCAAATCATAAAGGTTGCTTGATCGGTCATTAGTATGGCTTGATATACTTTGTCATGACTCCATTTTCTTTGCTTCTCATTTTGCTAAACATGAAATTTCTGTGCCTCATATTCCTGTCAGTTTGAATATGAAACTTCAGGAAAAAAATCTCCACTCTTTCTGAGAATAATAAATGTATTTTCCAAAATCACTAAATAACTGTGACAACTTCTTCTTTGGAAATCTCAGCTGTCACTCTGGTTTGGAGCAGGCACTTGCAGCTTGGCAGAGGAAAGGGCTGTTATATGAAGAACGTGTCTTTAGCAATTCTTGTAAAAATCTATCTGTATTTGGCCTTCAAAATAGCATGGCTTGCACATGCTCAGTTGTATCCAGCCAGAGCTTAGCTGCCCAAACGCCTAAGGAGTTTGTCCTTTTCCAACCTGCTCCATGGCTCCTGGGCAGATTAGCTTGAGCACGCCCCATCCCTGGGGTGACTGAATATGCTGAATCCCCTCCAACCTCCTTGAAACTTTTTTATAGTCTAATAGTACTGTTTGGGTGCTACATTGTGAAAATGTGAGATAACTAACAGCAAAATGATAAAGCAGGGTGTGCAGAGGCAAACTGGAGGATGGATTCTCAGCTAGAGAATGGAAACAGAGGAGGCGCAATCTGAGAATCATCCTGGAGCAAGACTCTGCATGAATTTCAAACTATGTGGGATTTGTTTCCCCAGAGCTGCCTGAAATTTTATTTGTGGCTAGTGATGGTCATTTCTACCAAGGAACAGGTGGCCTTGACCTACTTTTCTGAATCAAGAACCCAGGAAAATTCTGCAAGGGCGAGCACAGAGAAGAAGCCAGTTAGGTCTTTGTAGTGTCTCTTAAAGATTAAGGTGAGCAGTGACAGATTAGTAATTTGAAAGACAGTCTTTTCTCTAACGAACAATCAGTTCATTACAGCCCATATTGCTGTGATCTATAGTAGCAGTAACATATACTACAGCCTATTTGTTTACATTGTCCTCTTCTCATAAATTGTATGAAGGTAAGTGGAATAGGGCCCAGGGGAAGAAGACAGATGTGGTAAATCCCAGGTTGTTGTAGGTATCTGCTTTGTTGTTTTTCACCATTGTGAGGAGAAGCTGGTCTATGCTGTTTGCTTTTTTTCTGGTCTGAACTCAAATAGGCACCCTCCTTCCTTTCTTTCTGCCATTGTAATTTCTGTCAGCATCTGGGTAATCCATATTCCTGGCACAGAAATGATGTGTTGGAAAGGTTACTTTTCTTGTATTGCATCAATACATGACTTTTAATTTTTGCAGGAAGAATGATATAGAGGTGAACATGGGTGAAACTCGAATAATTTCTAGTGCTGTTCTGTCGGCAGAAGATAAAGATACCCCCAGAGAGAGAATTTACTACTTATTTGAAAGACTTCCAGAAAATGGTCAGCTTCAGCTCAAGGTTAGTCTTTGTACTTAAACAAAAAGCAGGCATGCAAAGAACTCTCTCTTTTTAGGGTAGAATGAAGTTCATCCTCCGTTTCTCCCAAATGTCTGTCATGTTTTGAAGTAGATGGCTGTGGCCAGTTTGATTGTTGAAAAACAATGATGCTGTCCCAGAGGCTTTGGCACTAAAGACCAGATCCTCAACAGGAGGAGAGGGAGGGTGAAAAGCATGGCAGATCATCTGGGGTAACAATGGAGAGAGACGCTGGGAGAATCAGCCCATGGAGGGGGAAAACCAAGTGTCAACACTGGGAGGGGGGTGTGGGGAAGTCCTTGATCAAAAAAAGTGACAAGTAAGCTGTTACTTCAGTTACTTCAGCGTTCAGAAAGAATGGAGGGAGAAGTGTGTGAAAGAGTGAGGAATACATAATGAGTTAGAAGAAAAGTATGGGAAGAAGGAAGGGAAAAAAGGAAGAAGATGGAAAGGATATAGCAAGAGGAAAGGCAGAAAATAAGATTAGAAATGGAAGGAAAGATGACCATCTATTGACCAAAGATAAGCTACAGGAACAAAGACAGAAAAAATGCCTCTTTTTAACTGCATAGATATATAATATAAAAAAATCAGTTTCTAAGACCTGCAATCCTGTAAAGTATTTTGATGCTGGATCCCTGCAAGAATCTGTGGATCATGTGAGACTTCTGAATTAAAGGGGTCCCATACACTGGGGCAAGAGATAGCTACTGACTGGAATCTGACAGTTTGAACATATAGGGTACCTGCCATGTATTTGAGCTCTCTGTCCTTGATAATCTTTGCTCCAAAGCTATTGACACTGTTACTGCAGGCTAAATGTCAAATACACAGATCAGGCCAATATAGGGTACTATGCTGTCTTCAGGAGAGCAGGAAATCTTATTGGGCAATTCACATTTTTCCATCAGAGGACCTCTGGGTCTCTAAATTTCTCTGCTTCCCTGAAGTTCCCCATAGGTTCACTTCTGATATCCCTTTAGGTATGGTTTCAGATAGAACCAAGAGCAGCTGTGTGAAATTAAGAAACAGAAAACATAAGCTTCATCGGGAACCATTTCATTTTCATCTTGTTGGTGTCTCATTGAGAAGTGTGCAGAAATGCATTTGCTGGAGTGAAAGTGTCTTTACTCCATTTTATTCATGATCACTCTATCTTCTCCACCCTTACAGCTGCTTGGGAACAACTCCAGCTATTTACTGCCCTTCAAAACATACTATGAGGAAAGAGTCTATAGCTTAGAAGGGGAGCCAGGTAGCTGCCACTAACAGTCTGCATAACTGCAAAGAAACACAGTTAACTGGGGAGGATGCATGGGAGACTCTCTGTTTAATGAAGGATGTTTATTCTTTCTAGGGAGGCCAAGGCTGGATGACTCTCCAAACTGGAATGAAGTGCACTCAGGAAGAACTGGATATGAACCTTGTGAGATATGTCCATACAGGAGCTATAGGGACCAAGAACCAAGACAGCTTCACATTTTATCTGTGGGATGGGTACAACAGATCCCCAGCTGTGGACTTCTACATAAATATCAAGGACATGGAAAAGGGTAAAGATCTGCCAGACTTGACGTTTTACAGTGCCTGTTTCTGAAACAAAGATGATCTGAGTACATGTCCTGATCCTTCCCTGAGCACTATATAGGCTCTTGGCAAGTCTCACTGCAGATTCCGAAAGTCTGTCTGCTTGGATTTCACTGCTGGCCAGAGCCCTGATGTTCCTGCTGGTGAAGAAGTGGTCCTGGGATTTGAAAAGGCTCTGCCTAAGGCAATGTGTTGCACCTTGCCTCCCAGGATGCCCAGCTACTTTCAAATAGAGTTGAAAATATCCTTCTGAAACTAGCTTTATGTCTGAGTAAATCAAAGCACAGAAAAATGGCAAGAATGTAATAAGGTAGGCAAAACACTGTTCAAGAACAGCTCTGTCTCCCAGGTTTATGCTCTAGTCTTATGGTCTCTCTTCCTTTATTGCACCCCTATTAGAAACCTAAATTAGACTAAGTTAGCTTGACACTCCTAAGACTGGAACAAGGGTTCAGAGAAGTTGCAATGTCTCCATCCTTGGCAGTTTTCAGGCCCTGATGGGATAAAACCCTGAGCAACCTGTTATGGCTGATCTCATGGCTGACCCTGCTTTGAGCAGAATATTGGACTAGAGACACCCTGAAGTCCCTTCCAGCCTGAATTTCCCCATAAGCCTACAGTCCTGTGATTTTTCTACTGGTGATGGCTCGCATGTGGCTAAATAATGCATAAGAGATCAACTTACAATTCAATATGACTATTCAGGTGTTGTTTTATCTGTCCTGCAGGAGACATTGCTGTTTTCATAAAATCTCTCCGAGTGCCGAAAGGGGATCGGGGCTACATTACAACTGATGTTCTCCTTGCACTGGATGGTACTGGCAAGCCAGAGGAGCTCCTTTATGTCATAACCTCCCCACCCCAGTATGGACAAATAGAGTATGTCGGCTATCCTGCCATCCCCATTACGAGCTTCAGTCAAATGGATGTAGCAAGACAGATAGTCTGCTATGTTCAGAACACAAAGGCAGTTGTTCCTGAAGATACATTCAGGTAAGGCATAACACCCCACCCACAAGCTTTTCACCTTGGATTTCTTGGGTATTTAAAAAAACCCACAACACAAACCAAACAAAAAAAACCCCAAACTAGTTATTAAAAAGAGGTGGAAGCTCTGTGGGTATTCTCATTATTTATATAGCAAAGATATTTCTACTATAATACAAATACTTGTGACTGCTTTAGTAATAAATGCATTTTCTAATTGATCCTGAAACTGTAGCCAGAGCCACATTCACTCAATGATACTAGCTTCAATATTATTATAGCACCCAAACATACACAGCTGTTATGATTTCAGTGGGGGAGAAGGACTAAGAACATACTTTGTGGAATTTTCCTTTGGTTTCTTGCTACAGCTGGATGTGGCAAAACTGGTCCATCCCAGTATTAAATAACTGCTTGCTTGTCTGTTCTTATTTATCATATTCATTCAGTTCCAGGCTTTTTGAATCCATAACTAGTTCTTGGACATAGTGAAAACCAGTCCACTTACCTATTATGACACCACAATAGCTCAGAAATTCGTGCAGACAATTGGATTTTTGGGGAAAACAGGGTTACCTATAGGTTCACTTCAGCAGCCTAGTGATACTTAAGTTTACTTTCAGCTGCTTCTTAACCTTCCCCTTAGACCAGCTTAGACTAGGTACACGCCTAAAGTGAATATTTCCTTATTTTGTTCTTAAATGAACCTCTCTTGGTTATGGAGTGGAATGATGTAATGAGTTATCATCAGGTAAAGACAGAGTAGATGTATTGTTGCTTAAAGTCTTGGGGACAGTTTTGTACAAGAGAGAAAATCCAGGGGAAAAAAAAAGGTGGAGAAATAAGGACAATGTTTGTAAAGGAAGAACACTAACTTCTTGTTAGCACTGGCAATTTCCTCTGAAAGCAGCTTTTGACAGGAAATGGACTTTCTGTAAAATTCAAATTTTAGACATAAAAATAAGAGCTTATTGTTTTTTCATTTGTGACTAAGAAAAAGGAAGGATTTAGCTCCTAAGAATTGCAATTCAGGAAAGACCCTGTTTTACACTCTCTTATTAACAGACTCCTCATCTGAATGGCATTTTCCATAATGCATGATGTAGATTCAAGGACATACTCTGTCATCCAATTTGAGAGCTTTTTTGCAGGGAAGTCAAGCAAGTGGGGCATGGAGACATCAAATAAACTTCCCTATGACACTGGGGCAGCTCAGGCAGCTTTATGTAGAGTTAAGCCAAAAGTAATTTTGGGACTTTCCTTAGCTGAAACATTTTAAACTATCCCTTTCACTAAATTCACTGTGATGGAAATTCTAGTTAGGAGATTTGTCTGATCCACTTGTAATCATAACAGAAAAGGTGAACAAATATTCTCTAGCTTTATGTTTCTCTATTGTGAAACACTATAACCAAAACTAGAATTAGCTTAGACAAATAAGGTTACGGTGATGCCAACCCTAGGCTGGGCAGTGTAGGAGTGGCTTTCATCAATATGACTTCTATACCACACTAATGAAAGCAGACCAAACAATTCTAGGAAAACTCTGCATGTGGATAAACCCAATGTCTTCTGTTTAGGCCAATGGCTAAGAACCAAACTAGAAAATCAGCCTTATAAAAGTAAGGTTATGATGCTTTAATAAATATTGATATTCAATAACTATTTTAATCACAATAATTGATGTTCCTTGATGTTATCATTTGGAAAATAACTTGGTTTTGTGTTGACATATAAATATTGTGGCAGAATATTATTATTATTTAAACAAGGAATCGTTACATTAATTATATGGGTAATTGGGGGGGGGGGCGGATTAACTGATCAGATTTTTACTTTCCACTGAAGTACTTCCTTCAGACACAAATTTGCCTGTATTGTTTGGTGCTGCTGGCCTGGAAGAAAGATTTGGCAGTGTTTGTTTGGACAGATGACTTGAAGTGATTAGCAACCTGACATCAGATGCTGGCAGCAGGATACTAAAGGAACATGCTAATGTCCTCCATTTTGACACGCTGGCTCGATTTTGTAATGAGCTGGCACTATTTATGATTCCATTTTTATCTTTTAAATGCCATGACAGATGCTAGGTCCTACAGCCAACTCTGTTGCCATCAAACTGCAGAAAGCATGAAATGTTGGTAATGGTGAAATCAAACCATGCAACATGTCCTCCTAACTGTGCCTGAGAGTTGTCCCCTAAATTTCATCAGAGTAAGGAGAATATTGGCTGCTTTTCATTCTCCAGGAAAAGATGAAGCAGCCATAAACCAGAAATAAACAAACAAAATCTCCCAAAATGCAGAAAAAAGGATGTCTTGGACACAGGCAGCTTCATCACCTGTGAAATCAAGTGGCATACGACATTTGCATCGTAAATTTCAGTCTGATGTGTATAAACAGGAGGTTTGCTCCTGTCTGGTATTCTGTAGAAGACTGGATGAATCCTCAGTTTGATGAACTGAATTATCTAAGTCTTCAACTTAAATATTGTTTGAGACATCATCCAAATGATTTTACAGCCATCAAAGGACCCAGAAGAAACTCACTTTGGCTGCAATCTTCCAGAGTTTTTGAGAGATAGTTAAGGTCTTGACTGACCATGTTTTGCCTTTTTTTTAAACCTTAGCATAGTATTTATCATCATTATTCTAGTTCTGTATTTTATTTCAGCTAGATTACTAATAGCACAACCCTTTTACGATTGGCACAATAGCATTAGGTCAGTGCAGACAGATGTCTCTAGGTTCCCAGCTGGGAATACCATCCTCAGTAAACATATTTCTAACAGCTATATAGTCCCTGGTCTGCCTATGCTCATTCCCATCTGTTTCATGGCATAGTGCCAGCTTACAAGTTGATCAAGCCCTAATCATCCAGCACTGGTGAAGACAGTGAGGAGTTTTAGATGGACAGTCTGTGTGACCCAGTAAGCTACTCCATGACCTACTGAAGGTCACTTACATTCAAGGCACGCAACAATAGGCCAGGTTCTGACCCTGTAATTATTTAAATACTTCTTTGAGGTCTGCAGTCAAGAGAGCAAGAGGAGGCAGATAATCTAAATGTCAACCAGTCCCCATTTAATTTATGTATGAAGCATGCTAGGTGGAAAGCAACCAGCTAGGCTGGCCCTCATATTGTCCGAAACAACCATCCCATGATACTGTCCCATACAAGATCAACAGCATAAGTGTAACTGTAGGTGCATTCAAAGCACTGGGCTCCACCCACTGAGGGTGGGAGAAAAAGGAATGTCGGGGAATACGAATAGTCTACCACAAGCAAATTTCTTTGCAAAGCAGACCCTGTTCTGGCACAGGCAGAACAAACTGGGTGGTGAAAACCACTCTCCAAAATGCTTTTGCATGTACTATGCAGCATAACTACAGAAACTTCTGTAGAAAGAAAGGTAACTCTTACATACTATATCGTGATGGGACATGAAGGATCATGAGACATTTTCAAAGCAATTTTTAGTTTCAAATACCCTCAAAAGTTTTTATTATAGGCATGACAATGTGCAATGTAATTGCTTTCAGAAAAAATATGTAAGTAAAAACCTAACAATGAAATCTAGGGTGAATTTTGAAAGCTAAAAGATTGGTTTTCTCTTTATTTTTACTGACAACTGAATTTGATAATAAATTTCTGCAGAACCTACTATCACTTGTATGGCAAAAGCCCATACCCAGCTGGTAGGCTTCCAACAGATTTTCTCTCCAGCCTTGGGCACATTTATCTTTCTCTTGTTTAGGAAGGGAAAATTAATTATAGAGAAAAATCAAATCTTTAGTATATCTAAAGAAATATTACTGCTTGACTGCGAACTATAAGGAACTATGCTGCTATTACCAGAAATTCCCAGCATGAAATAAGAACTTTGCAGACCTGACCCTTTGATAAATACATGCTATGGACATCTACATTTTTAAAGTTACCCTAGCAACTTGTATAGTTCTGCCCAATATCTCCTACAGAATGTTAGTATTTCAGTGAACCTTACTTGAGTTTTGTAAAGAAACATAAATCAGTTCCTCTGAATATACAGAAATTTACAGACACAGTCAGTGCCTAAACAAACCCATAAAGTGAGACGAGGTTGGATCTTTTTCCAGCTTGCTTTTTCAGATAGTTTTGGGGCTATTGGGTACAAAAGGCTTGTAACAGTGAACAGAAAAAAACCCATTGTCCAGGCAGTCCATGTACTTTACACACCTCTTTCTGTAAGTTGTAGACAAAACCAGCACTTTCACTGGCAGTTGCCACTGCCAGGTCACCAAATGAAGCTATAGTTAAGGATGTGTACAAATGGGTATGCATGCCAGATGGTGCAATAACCGCCCCCAGCCAGCCCACCATTTTAGATCTGCTCCATCCGTATCTGAGCTAGAAGATTACATCAGCTCTGTTATGGCTGCTGAGACTGATGTGTACATCCTCAATGCCATTCCTCTGGCATCTGCTCAGATTCCTGCACATGCATTGTAACTCTTGCCATATACCTGGCCATATGCTTTCAGCTTTCATGTTTTTAAGTTATACATCCATCCCACGCACAGTCTGGGTTTGAGCTCAATCCAGCTCTACTACTTTTGCAGTATCAACACAGGCAAGTCCTGTAGTAAAGGTGTGTATTATCATTTCATTTCAGTACATGGTGAATCAAGAACACATGCTGAAGACTGCCTTGCCTCTCTTTGCCAGATTCATCATCAGCAATGGACTGAGGACTAAGCATGGGACATTCATGATCTCGTTGGAGGCAGTCGACCAAGTTTTGCCCACACTGGCTAGGAACACGGGGTTAAGATTAGTGGAAGGTGCTATGGCAGTCCTTTCTCCTGATGTCCTGCAGCTTTCAGACCCAGACACTGCCAAAGAAAACCTTACCTTCCTCTTGGCTCAGCTCCCCCGGTATGGTCATCTCTATTATCAAGGGGCTATGCTACTGCAGTACAATTTCACCCAGCAAGATGTGGACAACAGGGATGTTGCATACAAGCACCGAGGTGGGGATTCCCAGATTGACAGATTTACATTTGTTGCAACAGATAGGACTAATCAAGGCTTCATCGTGAATGGGAGGGTGCAGAGCGAGCCAGTGGCATTCACCATTCAGGCAAGTGTGACCACAGGCCTACTTAAAAGAGATATATAGCATGATAAGGTGGGAAATGTAGTAATTTTGATGAGAACTGGTACTTGCTGCAGTCTGTGATTTAACTGAGGTTTTTATGAGCTAAAATGTTTGCTTTATGTGCTCTATGAATAAATAACCTGGAGAACTTGCCACAATGCAACACAAAGAATTTTATAGAGTGCAAAGACAGAGACTGCATTTAAGAGAAAAGAGACGTCATGCTTATATAAATATAAGCAAGCACATATACTTACATACTTAGACTTGCTAAAATATTTTACATAGAAATCTCAACCGTAAAGTTGAGCCCAGCTATGGGGAGGTACGAACTTCCTCCTGCTCTACTTCTCCACTTGGTACCTGACCCACTGATTTGCATATGAGGGACACTAGGATGACTGTTGATCTTCATGTCACAGAAATCTTGAATTAGAGCCACTTTGCTCCCACAACTGGACAGTGTGTCTTCCTTCTGGGAGTCTTTGTAAGATGCCTGCTCTCATTCTTCCCTCCTTTACTAGGATCTTTCTGTTCACTTCCCATTTCCCTCATTTTCAAGTTCTTCCCACTGTGTCACAGGCTCAGATGCCTTTGCTATGACTTGTGGTATCTATCTCTCTGACATGTTTCAGTATGCAAAGCAGGCCTGGTTGCATTGTATGTCAAAATTGTGTATGTTTCAAAACACTGATGCTGACAAAGAGGCTCCTAACTTTTCCTGATGACAAAGTCTGAAGTTATATGATGAGCAATGAGTGCCATTTCAGCAGAAGATGAGATATGGAAAAAGCAACAACTGTTGCGGAGTGCTAGAAGTTTCACCAGAAGTTGTGAAAGGTGGCACAGATTCAAGGAGACATGTTGGCCAGGTCTATGACTGTGGTTATCATAATCCTTAGGTTTCCGTGCTTGTTATTGTAAAACTGAGGAGAGAAACCTTTGCTGGACTTTTCATTTGCTATGAAGAAAATTACATCAAAAAGGAGAAGGACTATGGGGAGTGTGGCACATTAGGGTAGAGGTACACAGAATTTGTGTTGCCCTCCCCAGTGTGTGTTGTATCCCGCTGCATGCAGCAAGTGACTGGGCAGTCTGGGACTGGAAACCTCTAATAGCAAGTAGTACTTAACTGGAGATCAGACTTCTTCTGGAGCAGACTGTGAGTCAAAGTGGCTATTGCCACTTTGAGCAGGCTACTGTGCTTTTAGCAAAAGCAGGACAGAGAACATCCTGATACTGTAAAATTAATACACATTTGTCTATCTTTGATTTAGGTGGATCATTTGGACAAAATGGCACCAAAAATTATTCATCTCCATTGCCTTTCTGATGTGGAACTGCTGAAGAATGGCAATTATGGAATCTATATTACTGCCAGGTCCCTGAAGGCATCTGACCCCAATACAGAAGACGACAAAATAATTTTTAAGATTTTACGAGGTCCTCATTATGGCTACCTGGAAAATATAACAACAGGTGCTGTCTTCTATAATTTCTGTATTTTGGGACATACCAGACCAGATTCCAAAACCTACCTGGTTAATGTTTGCCTGATAGATGAAATCAAAATTTCTTAGCAAACTTTGGGCAAGGTTTGAATGTAGTAAGAAAGCTTTTACACTAAAACGTTCACTAAAACTACACTTATGTTCCTCAGGAATCCTCAGAGAGTTTGAGATGATTGTTACTAGCCGCTATTGAGAAACTGTTTTTTGTTTGCGTCAAGAAAAAAAAAAGTTTAATATTGAACTTGGCCATTTGATAAACATGTCACATGGGAAGAAATTAGTTGTGGCTTATAAGTAGCTGGGATGTTGCTGTTTAGCTATAAAACCAGGGTTCTGTAAGTTCAAATTTTCTAAGTGTTCAAAACAAAAAGAAAAGTTGAAAACAGTCTATATGAGCTACATGGTTCTTGTTAACAGGCTTTTGATTCACCTGAATGTTTCTCTTCTTTCTCAGGTGGATTTATTCAGGAAGGGTTTAGCCAAAAGGATTTAAACAGCAAAATCATACTTTATGTCATCAACCCATCACGGGAAGTGAATTCAGACAACTTGGAGTTTCAAGTCACGGATGCCAGTGGAAACTCCGCAGTGCCCCAAAGGTAGCTCCAACCCTCAGTGGCGTGTGCTGCGGTGCACGGTGCGCGCTGGCCCCCAGGGCGAATGAACTCGTGCTGGGCTTTGTAGCCATGCAGGCGTGAACGTCGCTATGACTCTAGCTGCCATTTCTTTTGTCGAAGAGTAGAGAAAGTTTCTTCCCCTCAGGGAGGTGAAATACAAAGGGCTAGCTCCAGGTTAGACTGGGGCACAGTTCTCAAGGGCCTTTGGGGCCTCACAGAAAAAGATAATGGAGTTTAGTCTAAATGGCAGTTGGGCATTTGGAGATCTGGGATACTGGGCGCTGAGGGGCCACACTCCTGCTTCATGTATACGGTCCTGCAGCTGGAGGTCACTCTTGCCCTGTGCTGATGGCAACGCTTTTTTCACAAGCTTGAGATCACAATGGAGGGGATGCTCTCAAGCAGCAAAAGCTGAGAGCTGTACCTCTGCAAAAGATCACTGAAAGAAGGTAGAGGGCACACAGCATCTTGTCATCCGCTGCCAAAATTCATATTAAGCATATTATCAAAATTTACTTGTGACATATGATAAGCCTCATGTACAAAAATTAGAGATGAGGGTATCATCTGAACTGTGCTTTGATGATAAAGACCAAAAGTAGGAGTAGCTCTACAGCATGGACAATGTTTCTCTTTCTTTCTGAAAACAGAGCTGAATGTTTAACCAATTTATTTGATCAGAAGTAACTGAGAAAAATAACTAACGTGATTTTCCTCGACTAAACTGGCTACTCACAAACCAGAGCTCATGGTGAGGGAAAAGGAGCAGAGAGCTGGCTCCAAGGGCCAGGCTCCTCTGCAGAGCACTTCCCTGCATGCTAGAGATGGGGACGTGAGCAGCGCCGGAGACAGCATTTCGGCAGTTAAGCGCTGTGCCAAAAGATGTCCCCATACACAAACACATCCGAACACAGCCAGCCTGAGCACTTCCCAGCTGCGCTGAGCTGGCTCACAGGTGCACTGATACTAACACCACCGCCAAAATGCTGCCACTCCTCGTGGGAAAGTGTGGGTTCTTGTATATAAATAGCAATGCATAACATCATAGCTTTACGAAGAGAGCAAAGAGAAGCCACTTTTTGTACAGAAAATAGGAGTTTCAGAGAAGGAGAATTTATCTTTTAGCTGTGCTGGACCTCAGAACAAAGGGGAATTTGGCTTTTAAGGACAAAATAACATTTTTAATATTGGATTGAAAAGCTTGTGAGATTTTTTTTTTTTAAACTATTTATCACCTGATGGTCACTGGTTCAAAATACAAGTTTGATTTGCATGTTGGTATTATTAAAATTGAGTCCAGCTTTTATCTGAATGCTGCTGTACTACATCTGGCACATGCATCTCTTTAGCAAAAAGAAAGCAAATCAGCTTCTAAACGGGTTGCCAATACCATGAGTATCAGAGGATATAGGAAGACATGAGGAAATTTCCACTGTGTTAGAGCTTGTCAACCATGAAAGGTCTGGAAGTTTGTTTTAGAGAAGTTCAAATTGTTTTGTAAGTAGCGCAGCTCATTTACCTTCTTTTTATTCTTTCATTCCTCTCTGACCCTCACTAATCTTTATCAAAGCTTTTAAAAAGGTGAGATCTTTACTGGCTACCTGGTGCAGCATGCGATCCTCTGAGGTTTGATCACATCCCTTATAAACAATTCTAAAATTCAGCGGATGAGATGCCTGGACTCAGCCACTTCTCTGGCTGAAGAACGAAGTACACAGAGTATTCAAGTAAAGGGAGTGGGGAGGTCAGTCGCACAGAGGCGAAGTCCTGGAGCATGCCCTACATTTAGTTAGTGATAGGACGAGAGGAAATGGGCTTAAGCTGCGCCAGGGGAGGTTTAGGTTGGAAATTAGGAAAAATTTCCTTACGGAAACGGTGGTCAAGCATTGGAACAGGCTGCCCAGAGAGGTGGTGGAGTCACCATCCCTGGAAGTGTTCAAAAAACGGGTAGATGTGGCACTTTGGGATATGGTTTAGTCTAGTCTACCCTTAATTGGCTTAGAGTAGACTTGGTAGTGTAGGTTAATGGTTGGACTGGATGATCTTAAAGGTCTTTTCCAACCTAACGATTCTATGATTCTATGATTCTATGATTCTATACTCTAAGAGGAGGAGAGTTAGAGGATAGATGAAGGAAGGTGGGAAGAAAGGAGGATATTGCAGAGAAAACACCAGGGAGTGAGAGTAAAATAAAACTACAGGGATAAAGGGAACCAGGAAGGAACACTGATAGCTTGTCTTGGCCTATTTGTTGTTATGGTCACACTCTGCTCTTCAAAGCTGTTGCAGAACCCCTCTGGTTCTGAAAGAAGGTTCAGGCTTGGTTTGGGGTAGACCAGGGCTCGACTGGAAGATGTATTAACGGCCTCTCACTCTTTCTAATCAGCCAAATCACACAGATGTGTGGATTTGGAAACAAAGACTCAGTATGTGTATTGGCTAAATCAGCAGTCAGGAGAGAAATGGCTCCTCGCTGAACCTCGGAGCAGCAGGGGGTGGGGGCAGCAGGGGAGATGGCTCTGCTTCACACCGGCTTTCCCTCCTCTCCCACAGGCTGGAGCTACGGTGGTCTCGCATTGAAATGCAACAGACTGAATATGAAGTGTGTGAGAGCGTGGGAGTGGTGTCTCTGAAAATCACCAGGGCAGGACACTCTGCAGATTCTGCCTTTATCGCGGTGAAGGTAAAGCTAAAAGCAAAGCTCCTAACTGGAAACTTAGTAGGAAGTAGTGGAGCTTGTTATTTCTTCCTCAGATTTGAAAGGTATTTCAGTGATCAGCAAAGAGGCCATGCAATTCAAATCAGACTTGCCGGGACATTGTCCTTGCTAGTCCAGATGGCTGAAAAATTTCTGACAAAACTGTCTGATTTTTAAGTAGAAATGCTGATTAACCAAAACTGGAATGTTTTGGAGCAGCATTTCAGTTTTGATGACCTTCTGTGACAGAGCAGGCAGTTTCCTCTGTCACTGTACTCAGAAGCTGGGTTTCCAGGATCTGACACTTTAAAATCTAGGCTTTGGACAACCTGGAGCCTTGGGACTTCTCATTTCCCTGCTCAGGCTGGAGGAGCCCAGGAGGTATGGGAGCTTCAACTCCACAGTCATGGCAGCCTCCCCCTTTTCTCCCCCCACTGCCATCAGCCTTGGAAGTAGCCCAAGGAACCCCCTGTATTTTCAGTAACAGCCTCTGTCTTATGTCAGAAAAATTAAACTGAAAGCTGTAGGTTATAATTTTGTAAAACAGGTTTTGTGCAACTTGCCTTCACAAATTTTATTTTTCCTTGTAAAAGGGGAATTCCAGGATTTTACCAGCTCCCCTTCCTAGAAAAATACTAGAAGTTTCCCTCACAGTTTCTCAGGATTATAGCCCTAATTGGAAACATAGTTTTGATTTTTCTTCCACTGAAGCCAGTGGGAATTTTGCTATTGACTTCACCAGGGGCCATCCTGCCCTATCCTTCACGGACTCCAGTGCCTCTACTCTGGTTGTCACTCGGGTAAAAAGACCAGTGAAGCTGACCCCAGCATCAAGAACACAGTGTGGAAGCTGGTGTCCTCTGCTGGTGTCCTGTAAAAATTCAGGGAGTCACTGGAGTCCCCATACTTATGCATGTACGTGTTCACGCCTATCCCAACAAGTCTTTGGGGCTGAAAGAGAACTCTGCATGCAAACACTTCTTCCAAGACCTCACAGAGGGCTACATGGGCAAACATGGCCAGGTTGCTGCTGCTTTTCCAGGATGTCATGATGTGCCTGTCCGGGAGCCAGGTATGGCCGGGTCCCCAGGCATGGTAAACAGCAGCGTTATCTGGTGCTGTCAAGTAGCAATTTGAGAGGGGACAAGGCAAAAGTTTAAGATGAGCAGATTTCTTTGATTATGAGATTTAAACCATAAGCAAAGACAGAATGACAGTTGCACATCACAACGTTTATTCTTTAGGCCTTTACCTTTTTTTTTCAGCCTAAGCACATGTATGAGTTGGCATGTCTTTTTGAGATTCCATAGAAAGGCACACAGTAGCTTCAGCACACAGCAGAATACAGTGGTTTGGTTAAATAGGTCACAGCACGGCATTTACTATTTGATTTCTTCTCAGGTCAATGAAATATCTGCTCTGCTGGGAAAGGACTTTACAGTGAATCCCTCCAAGCTTGTTCAGTTTGATCCAGGTATGGACCAGTGTACTGAATAATTGTGAAATTATTTCACTGATTTTGAAAGTGCAAACTCTCATTTTGGAGAGTGAAATCTATTATGTATGTGTAACTAGAGGAGCTGAACAAGATTAAAGACACTTGGGCTCATTTTCTGGAAGTGCAGTGGGCTTGCTTTGTGAATCAGTATCCTTATTACTTAGGACAAAATGGCGTATGGTCCCTTTACATCAGTTAAAATATCAAAAGTACTGAAATGATGTCTCCTAATCTCCTCACAGCTAGGCTGGGGAGGACCCACCCTGAGCTGAGCTGTGAGATTAAAGATTTGACCAGGATGCTGGTCAAATTTAGACAAAATTGAGTACAACTTAAGTTATGCAAGGTATCCATGACCAGAAAGGTGCAAAAGAACCTGAAAATTGTCAAACCTCATCTCTGCTTGCACTGTAATCATAACAGCAGTCTGACCTTGGCTGAGGCTGTAAATAGAAAGAAATTATAGTAACTGTATTATCAAGAGGAGCTTGACTTTTTTTTTTCCTGGGGGAGAATCAATAGTAAAAGTGAATACAAATATGAAGATACGGAAAAAAGCTTCCTCTGTTCTGCACAATTTATTAGTATTATGCTTTGGGTATCTCCCTGGGTCTAGCGAAAAAACAGTCCAGGTGAGAGTTTCACAATCTACCATTCAGAAACTTAGCTTCACCTGAAAAACTTGGGTTTGCCCATATAAGTAGATTTTCTGGGAATGAAAACCCATTTGCTATCATAATCACCTCCTTTGCATACGCAAATCCGAGGTTTTCTGGAACACATCCTGTTGGCATAGTCCAGGATTTATTTGAGTTTAGGAAATGGAGTCCACATAGGCCTCCCAGGATGTTGCCTGCAATGCCAGCAGAGGTTATCCCAAGACTGCCAGCAGTAAGATTTCAATGGCAGAAAGTCACAGTGACTACAGAAGAGACAAAATATATCATCTGTGAAAGGCTGAAATAGATGGCATGTGTTTGATGGTAAAAATTAGTCTAAGTGCTTGCCTGCATTTGAAAAACAGATATGGGGAATGTAATAAGTCAGTTCCAGCTGAAGCCTGAGGATTTTTACTTTAGGACTTAAGCTTTTTCTTTTGAAAACAAAGCATTGCATGCTACAGAGATTACGTAGCACTGCATCCCACGGATTAACTCATATATACACCAGGCTTGCTTGGCTATCCCACAGGAAAACTTGTAGCTTTAAGTTCAGTTAGAGTCACAAATCTATTTTGGAAATGTGCCACTACAGCCCATTTTGAGAAAGGCAAATTTTATGTAAAGGTGTAGAATGAGCAATGGCTAGTTAGTTTTCCGAGATGGATAAGGGAGGACACCCAGCAGACAGCAGTAAAAAAAAAAAAAAAAAAAACTAGGCAGAAAGGTGGAATTGTGCCCTAATTTCCAGTGTTTCTGGAACACACATGAAACCTCTGAAACCAACGAGCCACTCTCTGAGATCCTTTATCATTAGATTTTTGTTTGTTTGTTTGTTTTAAATTAGAAGATGGAAGAAAGATTTGAGATATCAGCGTAAAAAGCCCTTCATACTGTGCTGCCCAGGATTCCAGCTCTCCTCTAACGTACTATGCAGTCAAACTTACCAGCCTCTGGACTGAAATGGCTAGAAATTGTTGCAAAGAGATTTTTCAGTGCAAGGCCCTTTACTACCATATTCCTTTTCTGCTGGTCCGTGCAGATTCTCCAAGCATGGGACAGTTTGGAGTTTCTGCTACTGTCTTTCTGAATATGGTGGTAAGCCACATGAAAATTAACTAGTGAACATGGACAGGAGAGATGCACACTGTTTCCCTTTTCTGGCTAGTTTCTCAGTTAAGCCAGCTGAGCTACCTCACACAGTCTTTTTTGGGTGGCTCTCTTCAAAAGCCCATTGCTTAGGCTTAACCTTAGGGAAGGACCCTCCAAACTATTATGTTCAAGGCATCAGTTTCTCAGTTCTAAATTCAAATTGTTTGGTAAGTATTAATTAGTAGTATTTATTAATTAGTAAGGCTGATATGCTATGTTTTTGTAAGGCTGACTACGTTAATTGACTGGACTGATTGGCACATTAGACTACAATCAACAAAATTGTAATGGAAAGGAGCAGAAGAAGACTGTATCCAAGTTTATGGGTCTGTTTGTACTGACAGCTTCTCTTGGCTAGAGGATTCATACTGGAAAGGAGCAAGGAAATAGGGGTTATGCAAAGTGTCATAAGGGTGTAGACATTTTTTTTGACAATGTTGCATATGTATCTTTGATATTCATTTTGTATGTTAGCACTGATTTTTTGATTGTCGTGATTTAACCCCAGTCGGCAACTAAGCACCAGACAGCCATTTGCTCGTGCTCCCCCCCAAAGTGGGATGGGGGAGAGAATTGGAAAAAAAGTAAAACCTGTGGGTTGAGATACAGGCAGTTTAATATGACAGCAGAGGAAGAGAAAGTAGTAGTAGTAGTAGTAGTAA